TATCTTTGTGTTTTCTTTTCAGCATGTAATCAATCTCGCTAGAAGGACAGAGAAGAAATGTGGGCAGTAGGGAGGTGGGCATGTTTCTGTGACCTCAGACCCAGTGTTCTTCTTCTCCATGGTCAGTGAAGACCTGAGAAGTGCCACCATATACCTGAAGGCCCTAGGATGGAGAGCACCACAACTTATGACTGTTCCCAAGGAGGGCATTGGGTCTGGCCACTGAAAAGCAGGATCATAACCCCAGAGCTGGGTACAGTGACTTGGCAAAAGGAGAGCGGGGGAGACCCCATGCCAGCCACGTACAACCAAACACAATGGCATGGTCAGGATCTTGAAACATAAGCCTCAAGCCAAATAGGTAGAGTCACAACATAACACTAAAAATTCAGCACTATGAGGGCAGCACAACAGCTTTTGTCTATGTTCAGTATTTTTTCCTGACCACTCAAAGAGTATCTGGGCTATAGCAAGTGATCAATAAATACTTAGCAAATTAATTAGATAGATAAATCCTGGATTCTGCTTCAGTGGGTTCCTCCCCTAGCCCATTGGCACATGATGTGTTTTCCCAGCCATACACTTTTCCCCATCCCCAAATAAACCTTCAAGATCCTCAAATAAAATGCTCTAAACACATGTCAGCTTCCCGGATGCTCCTGATGAACTGCTTCCCAGCTCTTAAAATACACAGAGAGAAGTCTGCAGCCTCCAATTTCCCCCATCCTGGCCTTCATGTGAAGATGCTGCATGACCTATGGGACATGTGTACAATCATGAACAGCCATACAGTAACTGGTGCAGAAAATTATAAAAGAGGAAAACACTTGAATGGAATATTCACCTCAGAAGTCATGCCTTTCATCTGAGGCTACCAGTAGAGCTGCACCTACCCCACCAGAGGCAAACTGAAGGCCTTCAGTGTACCAGGCATACTCAGAAAAATGTGCACCAATGGGAGAGCTCTGCTCACTGTGCTTCCAGTCTCCAGCTAAGCCTAGGTTTCGGCAAATAGCCAAGAAATAGAGCTGTGAAGACATGCCCGCTGAACATTGCATTCCAAAGTCTAACTGTGGGACACTGCCAACAGAGATTCTGAAAGTTTCTACCCTGAGTGTCCCCAGAAGAAAGGGCACAGGTGACATGAAGCCACATGGGATGCAGAAGGGCTTGGAACAAGAGGAGGGTCAGAAAAACGGGAGAACTTGGACATGGCCAGAACTCTGGACTAAAATATGGACTGGAACATTTCTTAACCCCTTAATGAGGAGAAACATAGACTTCATGGATTTTTATGAAAATGAGCCTATCTGTCTAGAGAAAGGTCACTTAATGATAGGATAGATTCTACTCAACGAATCCTTTGTGCTGCCATTGCTGAAGTACAAAGGCAACTTCTCCAGACATGGCCAAGAAGATACAGTTGAATCCATGGGCCACCTGTCTCAAATGAAGACCCTGGTCTAGAATCCCCGCCAAGGTGCTGAGGAAAGAACCAGCCTTCTCCCTTCTGGAGTGGTCCAGGTGTGCCTCCTGACATGTGCACTATGATTTGTCCCTCTCCCAAATTGGTCCCTCTCTGTTTCTACACATAGACATGCCATGAAAACTCATTTGCTGATCATTAGAATAGAAAAGAGAGACACGAGATTTCAAATTCCATTTTGTAGATGGCCAGAAAGGTGACAGCTAGAAAGAGTAAATCTTTTTGGCAAAGGACAGCTTACATTTCTCTGGGCATGACTAGGGTGGCTTGCAGCAATGGTGGCCTGGCCACACAGAGCCTAGCTCCTTTCCTCCCCAGCCCATCTCCCAACGAAAATCACTCCTCAGAGGACATGCAGTCATGACCTCTGCTCATTGCAGCCAACTGAACAAATGACAAAATGCCACCCAGGCCTCCCCTGGTGGCCTCGAAGTGTGTCAGGATTCTGGACAGCCCGTGCTGCTGAACACAGCCCTCAGCAACATCCCCTCCTCTGGGCCCCAAGGAGCAGAAAGGTGGGGGAGGGGAAGCAGAAATGGCCTTTGGGCTTTTCTGTACCTGCTTTGATGTTTGTTTGTTTGTGCAGACGAAAATACTGAGTCCTAATCTCAAGGAAGGGAGGGAGGAGAGGACCACAGGCTATTTCTGTGACGTTTGGGTAGAGCACTGCTCTCCTTTCCCAGAAGGGGTCTCATGGATGCCTTTTGCAGTTTTCCACTATTCAATCACCTTCGCTCACTTCTGATTCTCAAGATAACCCTGGTAGGTGAAGTAGAAAGAGATTTATCAGAGTACCATAGCCCGGGGAGCTTAAACAACATTTCTGTTTCCAGAGTTCTGGAGCTGAAGCATTAGATCAGGATGCCAGGCCCTGGTGAGGGCTCTCTTTCAGGCTGCCAGCTGCCTGATCTGCTTGTACACTCACATGGTGGGTACGCTCTGTGTCTTCCCACAAGGGTGCTAATCCTATCCACAAGGGCTCCTTGTACTACCAGGCCCTTGGGGGGCAGAATCTCAATGAATAAATTCAGTGACTTTCAGTACATAGTAAGGTTATTGCCCTCACTTAACCAGTTGGGAAACTGAGGGCTCTGAATAGTTAAGTAACATAAAAGGGAGTGATAAGGAGAGGACTCTGAGGGGGCCATTTTATTTGATGGCTCCAGCCCTTCCCACCACTTCCAAGTTTCCCTGGGCTATGCCCTTTCCAAATCCCTGTGTCCAGCTGAGTCACTGCAGGCTACATTACAGAAAAGGCTTAGCATGAAAAGAGTCCAGTCTCCGTCTCAGCTCTACCAATAGAGCTGAGTGGCCTCAGATACATTCCTGGTCTCTCTGGGCCTCAGTTTCTTCATTTGCAAGTGGTGAATACTGGTCCACTTTACCTACCTCTACAAAGTGATGTAAGGGTCGGTTAAGGGTCCAGATGTGAAATGGTTTTGCAGATTCTAACACGCTTCACCCATACAGGGCTGGCCAGTGTTACTGTCATGGTGGTAGTGGCAGAAAGACTCCCTAAACCAAGTTCTCTCCCTTTCCTCCCAGCCATTAGCAATTTGGTTTCTGTCGGGAGCAATTCTATATGATTTTGGGGAAAAATCATTTCATAATTAAATCATGATCAGGGCCTAGTTTTCCCGTGTGCAGGCCAGCTATGGGCATGTCAAGGCATAACTCCATCTTCACCTCCCATCACAGATTAAGACCTCAATGGTCTCCAGATGCTGTGAAACTCCCTGGCAGAACTACACCAGCTGGAGACATCCTGGGAGGGAGCAAATCTTCATCTGCATAGTTCTTCATTGTTCTAGGATCATCCCTGGGCCCTCTGAGTCAACTGCTACTTTCGTTTTGCTGATGTTCTGAATCAAGGTGTGGCAAGCTCCAGGTCTGGGGTCTTTGCCACCCAGAGCAGCATTGATTAGGCCAAAGCTCAGCTTCTTCTCTAAGTCTCATTTTCTGTCTATATATTAATTAATTCGCCTTGTGCTGTTGTGGCTCACAGGAGACTAGGACCTGAAGCAGAGGTTCTAGTAAGGTCCCCTTTCCCTGTTCCCCACAGTTTTCCTTTGAGTCTTTTCTGTTTATTAAAGGGCAGATTCCCCTGTGGCAGGATATACCTCTAAACATTCTCAATTGTAAGTTCCTCAGAATAGATGAGTTTACCAGCCACCCAGGGTCAGGAAGGCGTGTGGCAGGGAGTGTCTGAGTCAGCCTTATTATAAACTATGTGATGTTCCCCACAGAAGATGGCTGGGATTGTATCTCCTAGGCCAGGAGCCTCCCTTTCAGTTCTGAGTTGTGAGGGGTCTGAGAAGGGACCAACCCAGAATAAAGATGAGGACCCCTTTCCATGACTTCTATACCCCTACTTCTACACCACATGCAGATGCCCAGGTCTCAGCTGGCACAGAAAATGCTCCGGGGACCAGGACCTCCTCTCTGACTACCAACCCCATCAAGCACATCTGTGACCATTAATCCTGATATGTCAACTGAATTAAAAAAGCCTCACAGATTAGTGGAACACTCTCCTGGGTGTGCCTGGGTGGGGCACGGAGGTGTAGGCTTGAGTGTTATATATACTCCTTCCTCTCTGTCACTGTTCCCAGCTCTGCCTCCCAGCTGCCACGAACTGAGCAGTTTTGTTCTGCTATTCCTTTCCACCATGATGGTTTCTGCCTTGAAGCCAGCTGAACGTGGACTGAATCCCTCAAGCCATGAGCTAAATTAACCCCACCCCCTCTAACTTGGGAATGTTGGTTGTTGTGTCACAACAGCAGGAAAGCTGACTAATACGCAACATCGCATGGGGTCAGGCAGCGCGGACCACAGGGATCCTGGATGAGAGGAAGAGAACAGCCCACCCCTGTGTGTCCCCTGGCTGCCTTACCACCTCCCAGCTGCACAGCTGCATGGCTGTACCCTGTGCCCATCTGGGCTGCCCCCTTTGCTCCTGCAGCTAGAGCGGAAGTGAGCAGTACATGGCTGGGGCTGCTGGAAACAAAGCAGTAGTGGGCAAAGTGATCTGCTCCTTGGCTACTCCCAGTCATTCTGTACCCGCGCCCCACCTCTGCTACTCTGTCCCCTGGCTCCTGTGGTCACAAGACCCTCATAACACTAGGTCTTTGTGGCTCACACAGGGCCTTCCCAGAAGGGACCCGGGCTTTCTGATGGTGGAAATGGAGGCACCTGGGAAGTGGGCAGGGATAGAGTTGTGGGGTGGACGTGATGGGAGGGCGCTTGCCCACTCGATCCACATTCCACTTTGTTTTTTGGCCACTTGTGCCTACTCTGAGTCAGCCCAGCCCCGAGGCCCCAGGACCCAGAACTCAGACCTCTGCAGCCTAAAAATTAACCTGTGCCCCTCACTCTCCCACAGCTCACTGGCTGGGCGCCCTCCTGGAATCTGGCTGCCCACGGTTCTCCCAGCACGGCCCATCTGAACCATTGGCTCAGGAAACATAAAAGAGGGCAAGTGTGAGGAGAGTATTTTACAGTTCTTTAATAACCGCTCTTGCTCGTTGTGTTTATTCTGTTTGAAGCAGGTTATAAAAATGCTGTGCAATTAAAGAAAAAAGAAACAGGAAAGGCTTTTGAAAACAGCTTTCTGATAAGGAACATGATAAATCTACAAGATGGGGGCCAACTCTTCTGTGGCACAGGGAGTCCCAGGGTGTCCATCTGCTTTCCCTGGGCACAGGGTGTCCCCAGCAGCCCCAGGTCCTGTACCTGGCCTGCCCGGGCCTGGGCCACACTCACTGAGGTGAAGCTGCTTCTCCCGTCTCACCTGGTCTGGGCCACCAGGCCACCTCAGTCAGGTCAGGGCACAGTGCCCAGTGGCCTCCAGGGACACTGAGGGGACGTGGCTTCTGCTCTGCCCCATGATGTGGCCTCAGTGTGACTGGCCTTGGTCCACAGCATGTGAGAGCACAGTGCATATGAAGCTTCATCAAAAGACAGAGTGAATGTATAAACTGTAAATATGTATTACAGTGAAAGACACATTGTCATTCATCCCCCTCCGATCTCCGCCCTGGCTTGAAGCACACTTACCTATCATTCTTGTCACTTTCTGAAGCAGCTCTGGAGTCCTGTTTCCTGAGTGCCTTAGTAGGACTGTGGTGGCTGCCTTGGATGTCCTGACTAGATGCAAAACATTTCCCTTTCGTGGTCATTTCGATGCTGGAGGAGAGCTAGAAGCCACACAGTGCCAATACAGTGAATAAGGTGGGTGAGGACTCAGTGTCACGTTTTTATTCAACAGGAATTGCCATACATGTTTGATCAACACAGGGTGACCATAAAAACATGGTGCGTTCAATTAAAAGACGTATTATAGTAAAAGACACAATGCCATTAATCCCCTCAAAATACTCCCACCCCCTGGCTCCAAACACACCTATCCCATCATTGGGGGAGCTGTGTCTTTTACTGTAAAATGTTTTTTAAAATGTAAACATTCACCAGTTTCCAGTCTCCCTTGGCGCCTCGGGCCAGGTCGCAGGACGGGGCAGCTCTTCCTGGTGTGAGAATGGACGCGCTTCGCCTGCACACACGGGCATGCGCGCTCTGCGGCCCTACCTCGGCGCTCACGCATGCGCGCCTGTCCTCCTTCCTCTTCCGGGTCTGCACACCCGGCTGGATCCAGTGCTCAGAGTCCCCTGCTCAGCCTTCTGTATCGCGTGCGGGGGCCTCACCTCCCCCACAGCCCCCTCAAGGTCGGCTGTGACCCTCACCTACCTCCTGTAACCCACAGAGCCCACCCCTCTCCACACAGCCTGCTTTCCACACTCCTACCTCAGTAAAGAGGCAGAGTCAGCGTGAGCCCGCGACACCACTCTCTCCAGCTGGGTATTGAGGCTCGGCGGGGTGCAGGGCTGCCTGCAAGAACGCGGGATCTAAAGGATGTTACTCAGCTGTGACAGCTCCTCGGAGGCTGAGACAGGAGGGCTACAAATTCGAGCCCATCGCAACAACGTAGCAAGACTGTCTCGGATTCAAAACTAAAAAGGGGGCCAGGATGTAGCCCCGTGATACAGCATCCCAGGTTTAATCCGTCCTAAAGAAGGAAGGGAGCTGCTCTACCACCTGCCCTGCTGGGATGGGGCTTAAGAGTGGCCTCCTGTGACGTTCTATCCCCACACTCTGATAAACTCCCAGAGCCTTCTCCCTACTGTAGGCATACAGAACTCAAACTAACATGCTCAGTGGCATTCAGGAGTTGGAGTAACTACACTGAACAGAAAATGCGATAACAGTGGTTTAAACAAAATTTTTTTTTCCCCTCTTACATAATGAAAGATGAAAGGTTGGCAGTCCTAGCGCCTCCATGGTGTTGTCCACTCTGCAGGCTCACCCCAGCTCTCTTCTGGCACTGCAGGGCTGACTTTTAAACTCATGCTTACAAAAGGGTTGCTGGAGTCACTGCCATCACGGCCAGTCCCGACAAGAGGGAGGGTGAAAGGCTCTGATGCACACCTGCTGCATATTCTTTCCTCTTAAGGAGCATTGCTGGAAGCCCAACCCAACAACTTCTGCTTACTTCTCATTATCCAGACTGTATTGTGTCTCACATATCCCTCATTCCGCTGCTTCCGTTAGAAGCGCTTAGGCTAGTGGCTTTCAGTCTTTTCGTCTTCTCCAGGGCCCTCTGTGTCTGCCGCTGCTCCCCTTCGAATGATGAGCCCTTTGCCAACAGATCATCTTTGTGTATGTGTCTGGGAACAACCCAGGGCCTTCAAACTGAGCTACATTTCTAGACTTTTTTCTTTTAATTTTTATTTTGAGAATGTTTGGCTAAGTTACTAAGTTCCCCAGGGCTGGGCTAGAACTTGAGATCCTCCTGCCTCAGCCTCCCAGAATACTGGGATTACAGACATGTGCTGCCACGTCCAGCTTGTTAATCACTTTTTTCCTTCCTTTACCCCAACCTTCTAATCCTACTGTCCCAGATCAATAAATGCTTATTGTTAAAAAAAAAAAAAAGTAACTCTCAGTATTAGTCAAACCTGCTTTGGGATGCATGTTCAATTTTGAACTTGAATCGCTATTTTAATCACATATTGCCATTTTACATCTCATGAGCAGACACAGCAACTCCTGAACTCAGCTATAAACTCCAAAGTCTGGAAGCGGGGAGCGCCGCCTCTCACACCTGGCTAATCAATGAGTTTATTTGGTCTGGGCACCCCGTCATTGTAGGCAGCCACAACAATAGTCACTCAGGATCTTTGTGATGATATCTTTGTGAGCTTTTGAGTCTGCCCTGCTCCTTCACCCACATTATCTCCGTGTCTTATAAGTAACTCTTTTAAGTAGCACTGTGGTAATTATCTCTTTGACAGATGGTGAAACAGAGGCAAAGAGAAAGTACACTGTTGCCCACAGGCGTGCTATGAGAGTTTGGACTTGAATTAAATGCAGGTCTTTCGACTTCAGGTCTAACACGCTGCTGTCAAACTTCAGGTCTTGATTCTCTCACTTTCAAGATGGAGAAATTCATTTAGATGATTTCAAATGCCAATCCAGTCTTTGAGAAACACAACACAAGACACACTTAAAATTTAAAATTTCCTAGCAGTCACATCTAAAAAGTAAAAAGAAACAGTTGAAATTAATTTTAATAATAGAATTTTATGTAACTCAAACAATAATTTTAGCGTGGAATCACAACAAAAATATTAATGGGATTTTCACATTCTTCCCTTCTGTCCATCTTGAAAAGGCACAGTATTGAGAATCACACTTCCTTACCCACGTAACAGCTCAGTTTCCAGCTCGAACTCATCAACAAAGATTTTACCAAAAACTTTAGGACTGGGCTGGAGATTTAGCTCAGTGGTTCCGCCACCTGCCTCACAAGTACAAGGACCCGAATTCAATCCCCGGTGCCAAAAGAAAGTTTAGGACCGATGGCCACCAAGTGCTGGAGCCCAAATGACCATGGCACACCACGGAAACTAAGCAGGTCCAGAAATATGCTGCTGGGAATCCTCAGGCCCCAGCCAAACTCGCACTGACTCTGAGCAGTAGCTACTAGGAGGGCCCCAGGGCAAGAAAACAGCCTAGAGGACTTAAAGGCTCTGATTTTTCAGAAATAAAAACACAGGAGGCTTGAGACATTTTTCAGTGTGAGCGCGTGAGGAAGTTGGGGGGCAGTTACAACACTGCCAGAAGAGGCAGCAGCGGGGCGGGTATCAGAGGTCACCAACTCTAGTTACCATTTGGTGGCTGATCCGGCCTTCAATGTGCTAATGGCAATGAACATAATTTCAAAGGGAAAAAGAAGCCGAACGGATTGGATGGCTGGGCCTACCAGTTGTGCTCAGGATTGTCAAAACCTGCAGAGACGGGAGAACTGGGAAAGCAGAAGTCGGGCCAAGCTGCAACAATGTCGCCGACCGCAAGTCACTTGCAAAACCTGGTACAGAGAAACTGGCAAAATGAGCAACAAAACTAAGGCCCTGCGGCTCTGAATGCAACGCCCCGCTCAGCGGCCACTTATAATCGTCCTCGTGGGCAGAAACAATCCTAGGTCGTGGCATCTCGGGGACAGGTCTGAGTAGCTTTTTAGGTTTAGCAGCACTTTGGAAATCCGTGGTGACGGGAGCGAGCGGCAAAGCGCATGGGGCCGCGGTGGCCTGGAGTCAGGCAAAGGCTCTGGGAGATGGGGAGCAAATGCACTGAGAGTCACCTCACGCTCACTCACCCCACGCGACTTTCTGTTCAATCGGGGACGACTTTCTAGCTTTCCAAAACCCCTTTCAAATTTAGCCTCACCGCCAGTCCCAGTCCTAATAGTTTGCTTACCTCTCCCGAAGAGAAACCCCTGTTCGTTCAGTGGTGAACATGAGGAAGATGGCAAGGAGGATCCCTCCACCCCAGAATGAAGACGAGGAAACCCAAAAAGGATATTTTTTTAAAGCCAGTGTGTGATTGCACCTTCAGCACTTCTCAGTTCAAGCTAACCATACTTCAGGTAACCAAAAGCCACACCTGTTGAAAAGCTCAACTCTAATGTTTCAAAATTAAATTTAAACACTGAAATTTGACATTTCATGACCAACTTATTTTATAAATTACCTAAAAGCAGTCACTGCTGTACATTCCCACTAAAGCCAATTTGTATCCGGAGCCATCTCTCCAACAGAAAATGGTCTTGGAGCATCGCTAGGCATTACTGCCATCTGGTGGCGATGCTCTGAATTGTAAGCAATCTCCCCTAGGAAATAGGCTCCAGGAATGTTTTCCGAGTGTTCTTCTGACAACGTCTGATCCGAGAGAGCTTGTTTAAATGCACATTACTGCAGGCTCTCCAGGACAGACCTCAAACATCCGCGTTTTAAATAAATGTCCCGAGTGACCTTCATGCACACTAAAACTTGAGAAGTGTTGATGTAGAGGCCATTCCTAGATAACGCAAGTATAGAACATTCAGGGGCAGCAAATGTCAGAGGACTTATTTTTCCTTGATATTGATCATAGTTGGAAGGTCGTTGTTCTCGTAGCCTGCCGGGTTCTGTGGAGTTGTACTTCTTCTCGATAGAGAAAACATCCCATTTCCAATACACACAAAGTTGAAAAGAATCCTCAATCAGTCGCTTTTAAAAGCCTTAGAAGGAAGTGTGCATCAAACAGCCCCATGTGCACACCACACAGGCGCGTGCACACCACACAGGCGCGCACACACCCTTGGGTGCACGCCTCTTAGCAGGTACACGTAGCGCCCCACCATAGCCTGCCTGCATCCAGCCCATGCCCTCCACAGACTCCCACTGCCCTCACTTCTTAAAAACTGGTCCCCACCACCTGGAACAGCCTGGCTTGTGTTCTGAGGGGCAAGGAAGCCCCGGGGAGCCCTCCAGGCTGAGCCAGGTGTCCCCTCTCCTCCCTTAAAGTGCCCTATAGGGTAGCTGTACTGTGTGACACAACTGTCACCTTTTCCATGGCAGGGCCATCTTGTCTCTGTAACTCCACAATCCAGAAAAACTTCTAGCACAAAGCAGGTGTTGCTAAGCATTTACTAAGTAAATAAGTGTTTTCTAAGACAACCATCCTAATGTGTCCAGAGGGCACCAGCTCCAGAGCCCCCTGCGACATGGACTTCTAACAGGAGGCTGAGTAACTCCTCTGGCCAGCTCAGGAGGGGTGCAGGGAGAGGGCAGGAACAGAACAAGCTGGGAATGTCCTCGCCATTTCCTCAGGGGACAGAGGCCTGTCCCATCTCGCCTGGCTAATCTGACAGAAGGCAGCTGTAGCACTTGGCTTGCCACAGGCAAGGCGTGCTGAGGCTGGGACCTACATGCTGCTGTTTGCCCCCCGGGGACAGGGCACAGGGGAGGGTAATTGACTTGTCTCCCAAATTTATTTATTAATTCCAAGCTGCACCATTTGATGTGGTTCCCAGGCCAGTGGTGGAAATCTGCCCCTTTCCTTCACCACCTACCCCTACTCCAAACTGCAGTGACCCCAGAGGAGGTGGTGATGCTCAAAGCCAGTGCCCCAGTAAGACTCAGCACTGGTGGGGACTAGAAAGGGTGACACCATGCCTGCAAGAGCCGGCTGAGAAGCAAGTATGGCTGG